TGTTGTCGAAGGCTTTTTCAGCATCTAGGGAGATATTCATATGGTTTTTCTTTTTCAGTTTGTTTATATGGTGGATCACGTTGATAGATTTTTGCATGCCAAACCATCCCTGCAATCCAGGGATGAAGCCTAATTGGTCATGGTGGATGATTTCTCTGATGTATTCTTGAATTCAGTTTGCCAGTATTTATTGAGTATTTTTGCATCGATGCTCATCAGGGATATTGGTCTCTAGTTTTCTTTCTTAGTTGTGTCTTTGTGAGGCTTGGGTACAAAGGTGATTGTGGCCTCATAAAAAGAGTTTGGCAATGAACCTTCTGTTTCTATTTTGTGGAACAGTTTGAGGAGTATTGGTATTAGTTCTTGGATTTGGTTTGCTAGTATTTTATTCAGTATTTTTGCATCAATGTTCATCAGGGTATTGGTCTGTAGTTTTCTTTCTTAGTTGTGTCTTTGTGAGGCTTGGGTACTAAGGTGATTGTGGCCTCGTAGAAAGAGTTCGGTAATGAACCTTCTGTTTCTATCTAGTGGAACAATTTGAGGAGTATTGATATTAGTTCTTCCTTGAATGTTTGGTAGAATTCTGCACTGAATCCATCTGGCCCTGGACTTTTTTTTGGTTGGAAGGCTTTCGATGACTGCTTCTTTTTCATTGTGGGTTATAGGTCTATTTAAGTTGTGTGTCTGTTCTTGATTTAATTTTGGTAAGTGATAGTTATCCAGAAATTTGTCCATTTCCTTTGAAATTTGAATTTTTGTGGAATACAGGTTTCAAAGTATGACCTGAAAACTATCTGGATTTCCACTGTGTCTGTTGTTATGTTCTCCTTTTCATTTCTGATTTTAATTTGCATGTTCTCTCTCTGCTTTTTCCTTAGTTTGGAGAAAGGTTTGTCTATCTTGTTTTCTCAAAAAACAAACTCTTTGTTGCATTGATTTTTGTATTGTTTTCTTGTTTTCTATTTTGTTGATTTCAGACCTCAAGTTGATTATTTCCTGGCATATACTCCTACAGGGTAAGTTTGCCTCTCTCTGTTCTAAGACTTTCAGTTGTGCTGTTAATTCTCTTATGAGACTATCCTCTGTTTTCTTCATATGGGCACTTAGTGCAATGAACTTCCCTTGTAGCACTGCTTTCAAGGTGTCACATAAGTTCAGGTACGCTGTGTCCTCATTCTCGTTGAATATTGGAAAGTCCTTAATTTCTTTCTTTCTTTCCTATTTGACCTAGGTGTGGTGCAATTGCACATTGTTCAGTTTTCATGAGTCTGCAGGTTTTCTGCTATTTGTGTTGTTGTTGAATTCCAATTTTAAAGCATGGTGGTCTGATAAGGTACAGGGGACTATTCCTATTTTCTTGTATCTGTTGAGGTTTGTTATGCCACCTGGTATGTGGTTAATTTTAGAGAAGGTTCCATGTGGAACAGAGAAGAAGGTATATTCTTTTGTGTTTGCATGGAATGATCTATACATGTCTGTTAAACCCAGTTGAGACATAACTTCTGTTAGTTCTTTTGCTTCTTTGTTGAGTTTCTGATTGGTGGTCCTGTCTAGTATTGAGAGTGGTGTATTGAAGTCTCCCACTATAAGTGTGTGAGGTTTTATATGAGCTTTGAGTTTTAGTAGCGTTTCTTTTACGAATGTGGGTGCCTTTGTATTTGGGGCATAGATGTTCAGAACTGAGACTTTGTGTTGATGGATTTCTCCTGTGATGAATGTGAAATGACCGTCTTCATCTCTTTTGATTAATTTTGGTTTGAAGTCTAGCTTGTTAAATATTAGGATAGCTACACCTGCTTGCTTCTTGGTTCCATTTGATTGGAAGATCTTTTCCCCACCCTTTACCCTGAGGTAATGTCTATCTTTGAAGCATAGATGTGTTTCTTGTATGCAGCAGAAGGATGGATTATGTCTTCGTATCCATTCTGTTAGCCTGTGTCTTTTTAAAGGTGAGTTAAGACCATTAATGTTGAGGGTGAGTAAGGACCATTGATTGTTGATACTTGTTTGTTTTAGGTTTGTTGTTGGCAGTGGTATTGTGAATATATTTGTTCTGCTTTATCCTTGGTTTCTGGTGTAGTTAGATTATCTGTTGTCTACATTTTTGTGGGCGTAGTTACCTTCCTTTGGTTGGAGTTTTCCTTCCAATACTTATGTATTGTGAAAATCTGGTTTGGTTATTAAATATCTTGTTTTCTCTATCTATAGTGATTGAGAGTTTTGCTGCATATAGTAGCCTGGGCTGTCATCCGTGTTCTCTTACTACTTGTAGAATATCTATCCAGGACCTTCTGGCCTTGAGGGTTTCCATGGAGAATTCAGGTGTAATTTTGATAGGTCTGCCTTTATATGTTACCTGTCCTTTTTCCTTTGCTGCTCTTAATATTTTTTCTTTATTCTGTATGCTAGGTGTTTTGATTATTATATGTCGAGGGGTCTTTTTTCTTTGGTCCAGCCTATTTGATGTTCGGTATGCTTCTTGTACTTTCATGTGCATGTCCTTCTTCATATTGGGAAAGTTTTCCTCAATGATTTTGTTGAATATGTTTTCGGCACCTTTGAGCTGGGCTTTCCTCTATGCCTATTATTCTTAGGTTTGGCCTTTTCACGGTGTCCCACATTTCCTGGATGTTTTGTGTTAAGGATATGTTGGATTTATGATTTTCTTTGGTCGATGAATCTATTTCTTCTAGTTTATCTTCTGCGCCTGAGATTCTCTCTTCCATCTCTTGAATTATGTTGGTTATGCTTGTGTTTGTAGTTCCTGATGGTTTGCCCAGTTTTTCTATTTCCAGCATTCCTTCGGTTTGTGTTGCCTTTATTTTCTCTATTTCAGTTTTCAAGCCTTGAACCATTTCCTTCACCTGCTTAATTGTTTTTTCTTGGCTTTCTGTACTTTCTTTACTTTCCTTAAGAAATTTGTTCATTTATTCCACTTTTTTGTTTGTTTTTTCTTCCATTTCTTTAAGGGATTTTCTCACATCTTCTTTGAGGGCCTCTATCATTTTTATGATGGTAAAAGTCGTTCCCTTCTGCTTCCTCTGCTTTGTTGTTGTGTTCCGTTCTAGTTGGTGTAGATTCCCTAGATTCTGGTGGTGTCATGCTTGTCTTTCTGTTGTTAGGTGTTTTCTTGTATTTCTGTCTTCCCATAGCTTCTTCCAGTAGGTGTTGGTGGGGTCTCTCCCTCTCTCTATGGTACTTCCCTGGTGGGTTTATGTGGTCAGAGATTCAATATCTGTAGCTCTGGGTGGTTCAAGCACTCTAGGAGGTCTCTCCACAGACAGGGGCCTCTAGCCAATGGCTGGCAGAAGAGGACAAAGGCTGGGCTGATACTTGGGATGTTTCTATACCGATAGTGGGATCTCACAGGGACCTGGCACTCTCCACCTGAGGCCTCTTTCTTTAGCAGAGGCCCTACTTTGGGGGTCAAGGATCTTACTGGTGGGAACTCAGAGTGGTCCTACAGATATAGGCCAATCTCTGGGAGGGGCCCGGGACTCCAGCAGAAGACTGGGGGTGGGGGTCAGAGATCAAGCAGGTGGAAATTACGGGTGGTCCTGAGTGGATAGGCAGGTCTCCTGTGTTCAGAGCTAACTTATACTTTCAATGTCTTATCTAAGAATTCTTTACCTACTCCAAAGTCACAAAGACTTCCCCCTCATGCTTTCTTTTAGAAGTATTCTGATAGTTATTAATGCATTTAAGTATGTTATTTATTTTGATTTACTGTTTACATGTGGTTTGAACTAGAGGTCAGGGTTTATAATTTGCACATTGGTGTTTAGTATCCCAATATCAGGTGTTGACATGAGCATCTTTACACCATTTTAGAGGTTTGTAGGGTTGAAAACACTAGAATTGCCATTGGTCGGAGATGTCAGAATCAACACAAGAGTTCTAAACTACCCAAGGACAACCTTATGTTCCTCTTAATATTGATAAAGAGTCAACAAAAGAAACAATTCTCACCTCAAAGAAGCACAAGAGATGGTTTATTCTAGAGCTAAATATGAGTGACCTGGACCAGGAACACAGATACAGCTTTACTCGGGTACTACATTGTAACATGGTAGCAGTTCCGTGAAGTTTTATAGTATCAGAACAATAAAAGTTGTAAGTCAAGACATTTCAAATACATTGGTGGAAACATCAGTTAGGTGGATTACAGAAAAGCCAGAAAATGTCATCTGTAGGTCTCAGGTGCTGACAGCAAACATTCTTAGCCTTTTGGTTGGTGGAAGTGAATGAATGGTCTATTTGTACATTCCAAAAGATTTACCTAATGGTCACCAACATGCTAGGTCGTGTGCAGAAGAGGGCAATATGTATCTATTAATGCTGGAAAAGTGGACTCAAGATAGACTGGTCTTCTAACAGTTAACTTTCCCGCAGTGTTGAAGTCTAATAGATTCATTCCAAGCTTCACTCACAAGCTCTTTCCCTACATGTACTTATTATTACACTAACTATTAAGCTTCCTGAGTTTTACATATCACCAATTCTCACCTTGCCATCATAATCTTGGGAAAGTGCTTGCTTTCTTAAGCATGTGTTATGAAACACCCATTGGTGTGAGCAGTGCTGTTTATGCAAAAAGAAGTGGCAACACTACAGTGTAGATGACACATTGCCCCCCTGAATTTATACTTACCCTGTAAAGGAGACATACTTAGAAATGGCACACTTTCCATCAAAGCCAGCTACTCTAGATAAACATACACTACATTAGTAGAAAGAAGGATCTTTCAAGTAACATAAGGTAAAAGTCAGAGAAAGGCTTCCAAAAGAGATAAAAGAACTTGACTTGGGATCAGTGTCTTGGGCCTGGTTCTTCAATATCTCTGCCAGCCGTTGTGTTTCTCTAACTCCTTACCTGTAAAATAATAGGCATGAATCAGGTCATCAGCAAGGTCCCCCCTCCCCATCCTAGCTTTTGTTCGATTGGACACTAGTGTAGTGTGCCGCTCTGATGATACCCCTGTAACTTTCCTTGTCTGCAGACTGCAGTGAGGCCCTGTTTCACTGCCACACAGGAAAGTGTCTCAATCACAGCTTTGTGTGTGATGGATATGATGACTGTGGAGATCTGAGCGATGAGAAAAACTGTGGTAAGTAGCACTGATTCCTCAAATGGTTTTATTAGGAACCACAGGTATTTATGACCAAGAGCACGTATCTATCTGTTCACTTCTATGACCAGAAGGTTGCAAAACAAAGCTAAACACACCTTCTCCTTTCAGAAAGAAGAGTTCATCTGAACACTTGTCTCAGTAGGGTTCTGCATCAGCACCCTCCTTCTTGTCTGGCAGTCACACTAAGGAAATGTTAAGGAAGTAGAGTGGAAAGATAGTGGACTTGTTAAAGTGTGTTTTTCTGCTTCATGTTCTGTTTGTCCTCTGGCCGCAGCAGGCTTATGTTTGGATTTTGAGCTCCTGAGCCAAACTTTGCTGAGGATAAAGTGTAACATGTGTCCAAGGCTCCCACCACCACATGACTTTAGTGACTCCTTACATGGTGTAGTCACCAAGGGTTAGGATGAGAGATTGGTTTTATGTGCAAATGCCAATTTCTTGTCTTTATAAACATAAAAACTCATGTGAACGGGCAAATTTAATACTGCACCATGTTTTGGAATCAAAACCAGCAAAATAACTCTTGCTTATTGATCTTGATAGCTTGTGATTAGCTTTACATTTTTATGTAATATGTTATTGACAGTAGGAAATTTATAATATGTAACAAAGGCAAGCTGAAACTAAGACCAGTGTTGAATAATGGTCAATATTTGAGATTATCTAAAGGGTTGCTAGAAAGGATTAGAGTGTGAGGCAAAGGAAGTCTCAGAGTAAAGATGGTCATAAAATAGTGCCAAGCTGGGAAATTTGGTGGTTTCTAGAAGTCTTGTCTAACTTCTCTTCACTTCATTCATAAAATATTAAAATCTCTAGGTGTACAATCTGCTAACTAGTTATTAGATATAAGTGGGCTGTTTAGATATGGGACAAAGAATGGGAGACAATTGTTATCTTGTCCATCACAGAATCTCGTATGAAGAACCTTACTTCATCTAATCTACACTCTTTGTTTTTCCAATGAAGTAACAACCTAGAGGTTGGGAAAGCCCACAGTATGTGGTGATTTAAAGATGGGTGTGTTACTAGGTAGTACACATATGTAAAACAGAATTGTTAGTAGCAAAGCCCTCTGAAGATAAGCATGTGTTTCAAAGGCTATGCTTTCAAGATGTCTTCATTAAATAGCAGAAATTATAGTCCTCCCTGGCCCAGTCTCTGCTCTGTTCTCTGTCTCCAGTGAACAAATCATGAGTGAATCTCCTGGTTCCCACCCAAGCATCCTCTCTTGTGGTTACTTCTTTTCTCCACACCATGCCTTCCATATTCTCTGCTTTACCTCTCTGTGATACCTTTTATGAGCCATTGTTACTCAGGAGACTATGACAATGGCCACATTCATGGAGACACATGAAACTTCCTCATTATTACATCTGCTCTTTGTGAACCCTTACCATTAATAGAACTGTTACAATACCTCTCAGAGCAAAGCAGTCTATGAATTCTTCCTTTTAAGAGAGAAAACTTCCCACTTAGCAAGCTCCCTCACTTGCCATATTCCAGGAATGTGTTGATTGGAGCAGAGTAGATATCCAGATGCAAAGAAATCATAAAAACAAAACAATAATGGTTTTCCTATCTTGCCTAGCAATTCTTTCAAACATGAGCTATAGATTTGGATAATCCAGTAGAAAACCTAGGCTTAGCATCAGGAGGGATAACATAGCTCATCTTCCCAGCTTAGCAGGGAGATGTTATAATTCTTAGAAACACAGCAGGCCTGTTACAGACACATCAATCAGCCATCTGCATTCTATAGCTCAAACCTTACTTCTGTTCACTTGACTCATTGTAAAAGTCATAGATTTTCCCCCTAAATAAAGGAAGCAAAATATGCCAGCAATTAGAACACCTGTCTTGAAAAGCAGATGAGTCTTTGCCCACAGGAATGTGGACTGTGGGGCTTGGCCTGGTGGAAGGGTAACACGTGAACTTGGCTGGAGCCATCCTAAGAACATTAATGATGGACCAGAAACAATGAGAGTAGATTCTCTTCAATTGGATCTGTGGGCACAAGTCTAAGTTTTCCCCATGCTCTCTCTATCCTCATGATTTTTCTTTGTCTCTAGAGTGCAATCCCATGAAGGAGCATCGCTGTGGAGATGGGCGCTGCATCATTGCTGAGTGGGTGTGTGATGGGGACCATGACTGTGTGGACAAGTCTGACGAGGTCAACTGCTGTGAGTGCACCCCACCCCCAAGAAGTCTGATTTTGCTTGTTGTTCCTTTTGCTCCTGTTTATACTGCACAGAAACCAAAGTCCATTAAACAGCACTCAGGGAGGAAGATTGCTTAAGCTTTGGTTCTATTGATCTAACTCTGTCTTTTGTCTGTGAATGTAGCATTCAAGAGGTGTGAGAACAGTATCAATATAGCTCTGACCTCAGACTCCTCTCCTCCAAAGTCCAAACTTAAACTGACAGATCTGGACCATCAATGTCTGCTTTTTCTCTTGCTGCTCCTGTATCCTTTATGTGTCTGGGAGTTGTCCAAAGGCAACTCTCTTCCCAGAGACCATGGAGTCCCCTTTTCTCTGCAAGTTATATACGAGCAGCCAAGCCTCTAAGCATGTTCTCAGGGGCCATTTGTGGGAGAACATGGGAGAAGTGCCAGAAAGAAGGAGCCTGCTATGATCCTATAGTAACAAAGAGAGAGTATGATAGTAATTGTCATTTTATAGCAGGTGGTGTTGCTAGAGAAATGAAAACTTATTTTTACATCATCTCATAACAGGCAGAATTGTTAGCTATGCTTTCCTTTTAGGAAAGCATGCTTTCCCTCAGAAATGAAAAAAGTGAAATAGTGGCAGTTAAATGTTGAAATAGTATAACTTACCTGCAATGGTTAAAAATGACACATCTCACTATAGATATTTGAACTAAACCTTTTAGTTCACTTAGTAGAAAGGCTTGGCCCAGGTTTCCCTATGGTAGCTGCACTGATTACAGGACACTGGGTGGATCTCAAAATCTGAAAATGTTCAAGCTCTTTACATGGGAAAGCATGGTACTTGTGTACAATCTATTCACATTTCCTATGTACTTGAAATCATTCCTAGTTCACTTATAAAACATAATACAATGTAAACATTCTGCATATAGCTGTTATACTGTTTACGAAACAATAAGGAAAACACTCTGTACACATTTAATACAATTATATTTGCCCCAATGTTTTTGTTTGTAATTAGCTTAATCTTTAAACTTAGAACCCATAGGTATTGAATATGAAATTGTATATTTACTTGGCTTATACTTTGAGGCAAAAATAGAAATGCAGATAACATAGTTCTATTTTGACATATGGAAAGCTGTGTAAAAAGTTCCATAGTCATGCTACCTGGCTTTCTCTCCCCCTACTTAAAGTGAAGCCCTTCCTTTGTAAGCCAATGGGACAGAGTGGCTGTATTAAAGTATTGACAAGAGCAAGACACTAAAGAAAACACATCTGGTGAGGAGCCTTGATTCAAGAAATGGGTCTTAATGTTAGATGGCAATTCATCGAAGCCTGAGGACACACGGCATATGCGTTTCTGATGCTTTAAAATGCAGGAAGTAGAGAATGTTGAGAAATCACAAAAATCAGAAAGCTAAAAGTAACCTGATACCCTCCCCCGTTTAAACACCAGTCATAAATAAGTTGTACAATGAAGTATTCACTGTGCAGTAGGTATTCTGGGAGTTCTTTTGAACCCATTATTTCATTAGCTTGTTAGATTAGGAAGCTGTGGAATGAAAAGTTTGGCCTAGAGTCAGACAAGCTTGTTTTTATAGTCTTCCCCTACCTCCCAGCAGCCTTGTGATTTAGAAATGGGCTTTGTGTTCTCTCAACTTCAGTTCTCTCATTTGTAAAACAACGGCTATAACATCTGTCTCCCAGGGATCTGCATTTGATGTATATGACACACCTACCATGTTTTTTTTTTTACCACGAAACAAACACACCTCTTATAAACTATTTGTTTTTTTATCACATCCAGTATCATTGGAAAGCACTCAATTGGTAATGCATGCTCTTTTATAATGAAGAGAAAATTGAGAAAGAAAGAAAACCCTCCATTCAAGAAATTCTTGAAGTGAAAAAAAAAATGAGTAATACTACATTTAAATAAGAAGTATTGCCCCATTTGTCTGTGTGTGCACAACACATCATTTGTTGGTAATGCTTGATTTGTATGATCAGTAATAGGCAGCCGTATATAAAGTGACTGTTCTTCTGGCCTCCCCTAGCTTGTTACAGCCAGGGCCTGGTAGAATGCAGAAATGGACAGTGCATTCCTAGCACCTTCCAGTGTGATGGAGACCAAGACTGTCAAGATGGAAGTGACGAGGAGAACTGCAGTAACAGTGAGTGTGTCCCCAGCCCCCAGAGTGTTCTTGTATTGGTGGATCTTTCTTTGGGAGAACAGAACAGAATATCTGGAAGTTGCTTAGGCGGGATTTCCCTACTGATGATTCCAGATTCCTGGTCACATTTTCTCTTGGTAAATGCATAACGCTTTAGCAGCACAGGCTGGAAGCTCGTTCCTAAGGCTCGAGACGAAGCCACATACTCAGATTCCATTGAGTCTTCTACGGGAAAAGCCTAATAAAGAGAAAACTTTAATGTGGAGCATGCAATTAAATGTGATTAGATCCTCAATAGAAGGAATTGGTTCATGAAATCAAGTGTAACTGCATCCTAATTTGGCCATGTTCAGAGATCAGTTTAATGTTTCACATTGCCAAGCAGCAGACTTAAATATACTTTTTAAAAAAGAACATAATATCCGTGTGTGAAACTTAAACAGAAAATGAAAGTTAAACATGTTAGATTTTAAATGTGATAATTTCTGGTTTGTGTGTGTGTGTGTGGGGGGGTAAGTTCCACACTGATTATTTTAAGACCTGATTTGTCTGAAAACCTCCATGCATGGGGTCGACAGAGTATCCCCACACTTAATTTACCCCCCTCCATATTGGTTCATAAGGTATCAGCATTACACATGCCTTTGTACCCCTGGTGCTGAGCTTCATGCCCTGTGCTACTGCTTGCTATCTGGGTGGCTTTAGGTGAGTCAATCCACCTTTCTAGGTCACAGTTTCCACATCAGCTCAGATGATGATAAGTCCTGAGTTGGGCAAATGCCTGGTGAAAGCTGAATAAATATTACCTGTTGTTACATAGCTAACATGGGAATTGAGTCTAACAAAATAGCCCATGAAGCTTGCGGTCTCATGAGATGGGTAGTCCAACTGTGTAGAGCAGGCTGAAAAGAATCTAGGGTGCTGTGCTTCTGTGTGCTTGGTAGAGAGCCCCCAGAAAAAAAAGTTTATGATGGAGATAGGCTAGAGGGTCAAGCTGAAGAATGAGAGGAGCCCTCAAGGGAGAGGGACCTCAGAAGATCACAGCAGACCCACAGCACCACACGGCTAATGGTCTTGAAATAGGAAGTGGGAGGTGTGTTTAGATTACAGAAGACCACGTTGTGAGTTTTCTTTACAGGCTTCTTCCTGTTGTTTTCCTGTTTAGAAAGCCCTTCTCTCCTTCTCATGACAGCTTACCCCCCTTCTTTGGGCAGCTTTGACCTCCTGACTTAGTCTGCTTCAACTGTTCTTGATAAACGCTCTGGTAACACCATATTTTCACAGCCTGGTGAGGTGTCATGAGCAGCACCATCCATGTTAGGACTTTCAGATCCACAGAGGGAGCCATACCCTTTTGTCTTTCAGTGTTCAGTTTCTGACTTGTCACATAGGCTTGCCACAAAGCAGGCACTTAATATCTGCTGAACTATTGAATGCATGATGTCCTAACATGTCATGAAGAAAGTCACGAAAAATGTTTAAAGTCCCCTTGAGGAAAAAAAGTGCCCTTGATAGCTTTAAATGACAACAGTGACATTATTTCTACAGGACAATAGATAGCATTTTACACTAGAGGGACTGGAAGAAAAATTCCAGTATAATACACAATGCTGTACAATTATGGATAAGCACGATTGTATATGTACATATACGGCTATTTATACTCAAGAGTGCCTTGAAAGAGATTCTGGATTCCAGATGGCATGTCTGAAAGTAATTGAGCATAATAATGGGGAGAGATGGAAAGAGAATGGGTAGCAATTTATTACTTTGTTCACTTAATCTACAAATGACCAGGAAATCAAAGACAAAAGCAGTTTCCTTTCCACACACCTTAAGGAAAAGCCATCAGGGCAGAGGCTGCTGTTGCCACCATTCATGTGGAGAGAAGAAGTCCTGATCTTGGTCATCAGACCTCAGCTGATGGCACTTTCCAAGGGTACTAAAAGTATAGGTAGCAGCTGTGGAAGACTTGCACTATTATAAAGGATCCTTGAAATAGGATCCTTCATGTGGATGCCCTGTTAATTTCTAGGGAAAGCATTTTCCTTAATCAGGAGAGTTGGGGGGAAAGGAGTGTTTATGGCATCATTCACAAACCAGAATGTTAATATCTCCAGATTACCATCTTGCCTTCACATTTTTTGCATTTTATTTTGTGAAGTATAGGCACCTTTATAAAAACAGCGTATGCTTTCCCCCTTAGAAGTTGTTTTCTTTAGTTTGGTTTGCCTCTCTTTTCTTCATTTCTACAGAATTCATTTGGATGCTGGGCTGTATTTAGTTGGTGGGATGATGGAGGGAAATTAAAGTTGTGTCATCCTTCAGCTCCAGGAGACATTCTTAGTCCCTCATAGGGAGGGCTGGGGGATTGACAGGTGATGAAAGCTACTGGGCTTTTCCCCTTCCACAGGTCAGGTGCCATGTCCAGAAGGAGGTCAAGGGTGCCTCAACAGTTCCTGCCTCGATTCATGTGCTGATAGCTCTCTGTGCGACTCAGACGGCAGCCCGAGGAACTGTAGTAAGTACAGCAGCTGACTCGGACAATTTCTGTGACAGACTGTATGTTCAGCCTCTTCTTACTGCATTGCCATAAATGACTGAAGTTTTGGAATCACTCCAAAAAAGCACATGTATATATTCTTTTGTCCAAAGGTTGCATGTGGTAGCAGAAAAGAACCAAAATGGTCTTCATTAACTAAATAAGGAACAAATGTGTGGTTGTGGCTGGGCCATCAATCTACATTGCTTAATGTCATTACCACCACTTTCAACTCAACATCAGCTCCTATAAATTATATGCATGGCTCCATCTGCGGGCAGATGTTATCTTTCTTCTTTTTAAAGCACAGCTTCCAAACTGGAGACTTCATGTGAGAAGCAGATAGGAGAGTCATTGAAACAGTCACATGAAATTTGGTCAGTCTTTTCTTCTGGGAGATGTGTTCTTACCACTGCAGACATGGTGGTGAATGATGATGGTCTGGGAATCATTGTGTTCATTTGTTTTAGGGACAGTGAAGTGACTCCAATGGCGAGAGCAGGTAGCTGTCTCCAAATTGCTTTTTTTCAGTAGAGATTAGCGGAGGGAAGACTGAGTGGGCAAAAGTGAAGAATATTAAGTAAACTCCAGTGGGAAATTTCAATGGAACTAGAAAATTTCCAAAGACTGATTTTTAGAAATGATTTCTTCCCACTGAACTCAGTGAGGATATCACACTCGCCTCTTTCATGTGGGGTAATTTATCGTTCCTTCTTCAGCTTGGGGTTAAAAACTTAGAAGCAGGCCAGTCAGTTTTCAGCTATCAAGAGAGATTTACTTCATAGCATATATCCTCCCCGTGAAGGCCACCAGAAGCTTTGAGGTCAGTAGACTGAGGGACAACGTGCTTCCAGTAGCCTTGTAATATTTGAGCTGAATTATATCCCTGACTAGGATATCTCAGTATACCAATACTCATGGATACTAGGAAACTATTTGGCTAAAAGCAAAACCTTCCTCTCCAGAGGAAAACCATTTCTCTTATGTATTATATTAGTCCATCTTTTTGTTGCTAATGACACAATATCACAGAATAAGAAATTAACTAAGAAAAAAGGTTTATTTTGCTCATAGTTCTGGTTCAGGCTTGAGGGAGCCCCATATGGCCATGTTCTTACTGCTAGAAAATCAGAGTAACATGGGACATCCCATGAAGGCAAAAAGAAGCATCCCCTATCTTAGCACTCCTCCTCCATGTGCTCAGTCAGGGGCTAGCCCTGATGCTCTTATCTCCTATAAGTGCCCCTTCTAGGCGTCATGGTCTGATTAAGACTCTTCTCTATTAATACCTCACCGCGAGATTAAGCTACATGATTTCATCACAGACACATTTTAACACCATATAAAAGAACAGTAGATATTAGTCTGGTCATTAAGAAAATATCAGCAGGGCAAGGGACACAATTCTTGCCAATCATGTACAAAGCCCTGGTTTCAACATAATCCCAATACTTAGTACACAGTGGTAATAATATTAGAAGTTCAAGGTTGTCTTTAGCTACTTGGTGTATAGTTGGTATATATGAGACCTAGTCCCTAAAATATTTTTTGTAATAAAAACAATATAAAAATAAAAGAAGATACACTGACCACTTTCTCTCCCAGTCAGACATATCCAAGTTGCATAAGCACATATAAATATGTATATATGTGTAAATGTGTTCTCGGTTCATTGATTCCATCATTCTGTTTTGCTTATGTCACAGTCAGGTCTGGATCTTTTTCTAAAGAATGATTTATTTTTATTTCAGTTTCAATTTTGGATGAATAATTTTGAAGTATGACAGTCATGTCAAAGACAAGTGCTTAGTATTAAAAATTTTAATGTTGTTTGACATGCAATGACACTGTTAGACTAAAAAATGTAGACAGGGAAATGTTAGCCTGTGCTGCATATAGGAAGAAGGGAAACCGAAAATCCTATTTTCTCTACATTTGAAACACTTCAAAATCTAAAAGTTTAAGGGCTAAACATATAGTTCAGTGGTTAAAAGTACTGGCTGTTCTTCCAGAAGACCTGGGTTTGATTCCTAGTACCCACACGGTGGCTCATAAACACTTGTAGCTCAAGTTTCCAGGGATTCAGTACTCTTTTCTGGCCTCTGTGGGCACAGTGTGCACATGGTACATAGACATATAGGCAGGCAGAACACACATACATACTAAAATAAACAGTAGGAGAACGGGGAGGGAAGAGAGGAAGGGGAGGAGAAGAACATTTGGGATTGGGAAGGCCAAGTTGGGGGAAAGACAGAGAAGGAGAGCAAGGAAAGAGATACATTGATGGAAGGAGCCATTGTGGGCTTAAGGAGAAACCTGGCACTAGGGAAATTCCCAGGAATCCACAAGGATGACCCCCAACTAAGAATCTAAGCAATAGTGGAAAGGCTACCTTAAATGTCCTCCTATAATGTTATTGATGACCACCTTATATGCTATCCTAGAGCCTTTATCCAGTAGCTTATAGAAGTAGAAGCAGACATCCACAGCTGAGAACTGAGGCCAACTTCTGGGATCCAGTTGTAGAGAGGGAGGAGTGATGAGCAAAGATGTCAAGACCATGTTGGGGAAATTCACAGAAACAGCTGACCTGAGCAAGTGGGAACTCATGGACCATAGTCTGACAGCTGGGAAACCAATATAGGACAGAACCAGGCTCCCTGAAAGTGGGTGTCAGTTAGGAGGCCTGGGCAGTCTATGGGGCCGCTGACAGTGGAACCAGTATTTATCCCTAGTGCATGCACTGACCTTTTGGAGCCCATTCTCTATGGAGGGTTACTCTCTCAGCCTAGACACAGCAGAGAGGACCTTGGTCCTGCCCCAAATGATGTGACAGACTTTGATGATCTCCCATGGGAGGCCTCACCCTCACCAAAGAGTGGATGGAAGTTAGGAGAGGGAGAAGGTGGGCAGCATGGGAGGATGGGAGGGAGAGGGAACTGGGATTGATGTGTAAAATGAGATTGTTTTTAAAAATAATTTTAAAAAATTAAAAAAAATCCAAAATGTAAAAATTTAGAGCACAGTGTCATCTTATAAAAAAGAATCATAGAACATATAGGCAGCTAGCTTTAGCTTATACATTAAGCAGAATTTATGGTGAGCATACAAGATTCCAAGCACATAATAGCACTGTCCTCTTTAAGGGAGAAGACAGGAATCCTGTCTAACTTACTGGAGGAAACTTCCGGCATGGATGGAGGACATCCTGTAGACTCCTAACTCACATTCATGTTGTTATTTTTGTGTTCTTCCAGCATACACTTTCTCTAGCATCTCATTAGCTCTGTCATTCTCTGTGCACATCTCCACTAACTCCTTTCCACCCCCAGCAAACACCTGAAGATTTTTCTTCTGAGTATTAAACACTGGACCAGGCGTTGGTCTCTCAGTCCTTCCACTGTTGAAAGTGGCATCAGAACCTAACTTCCAGCTATTTCTCCAGAGGCCTCTGGGTGGGCTATGCACGTGTGCTTTCTTCTCTATACAGATGGACAAGTAGCATATCTTCTTGTGAATCTGTTCATAGACAAGGAAATGTGAATATTTGACAGTGCTTACCATCATCAACATCAATGGTGTTTAGCTTCTTAACCCCCATCCCTCTCCGCATGATGTTTGTTTCTCCCATTTGGAGCTTGCATAAAGAGAACAGGGAATAATAGATTAGTAGCAAGTTATTAGAAGTGAAGCTATTCATTTCTTCCTCCTCCTTTTCTCCCCCCATCTTTTTCCTTTTTTATTTTCCAACAGGGCCTCACTATGTATCCCCACCCAGCCTAGAACTCTCTATGTAGACCTGAGTGACCTTGAACTCATAGAGATCTGCTGACCTTTGTACCCAGGTCCTAGGATTAAAGGCACTTGCCACCACACTTCTTCCTCTTCTTCAGGGTAAAATTATACCTTAGAATATGGAAGAAAATGGATGAGTAGACCCCTAGATGATGAAATATACTACTAAAGCTGATTACTTGGAATGTGTACAGTGCTGTTTGGGTTGACATCCTTGACCCGGTGAGTGAAGAAAGTTGATAATCATCTGGAAGACCCAGCACTTCACCAAACTTTCTTAGGCTCTGAAGAATCCAGTTCTTGCCATCTCAAAGCAGTCACACAGCTTCTTAGTGGCCTCTCAAGGTGTACTGGGTGGGACCCAGTTCTCAGGATATTTTAAATGTCCTTGATGACTCCTGTGTGAAGCCAAGGTTGACAATGACTGCTCTACGGGTCACATTGTGAATTGGCCACATGCATTTATGCATACTTTGACACTGGAAGTGGAAAGTTTTCATAGTTCTCTGTACATTTTACTTTTCACTGGAGGACTGGCTCTCAACCTTCCTAATATTGCAGGCCTTCAATATAGCTCCTCATGTTGCGGTGACCCAAACTGTTGCAGAATAGAATATTTGTTTAGCTAGGTAAAGATGTATTACTTTTATTTATGCTGAATTTATCTATGTAGAGATGTGTTGCTGTTTCACTCTGCCTGCCTAAGGCACCCGACTGGTCTCATAAAAAGCTGATCAGTCAATAGCTGGGCAGAGGAGGGATAGACAGGACTGGTAGGGAGAGAGAAAAGGGGAGCCAGCCAGTTAGCAGAGTTCACAGGGGTGGGGCAGCCTTCCAGAGGCAAGCCAGCCAGAAGCCAGACAGACATGGAGGAAGAAGGAAAGCAGGATAGACAGTATGTAGATGAGTTAAATGAACCTAGGGACAGCACATTGATTAATAGAAATAGGTTAATTTAAGTTTTTTTAAAACACCAATTAGTTAGAAAGGGCTGAGCATTAATAATTAGTAATAAGCCTCAGTGTTATAATTTGGGGGTTGGCAGTCCAAGAAAAGCCTGCCACATTTAACCATAAAAATTATTTTCTTTGCTACTTCATAACTATAATATTGCTTCTGTTACAAATCATAATGTAAATATCTCTTTTCCAATGGTCTTAGGTGACCCCTGTGAAAGGGTCACTTGACCCCCAAAGGGCTTGTGACACACTTTGGGAACCACTGAACTAGAGAAAGGTTGTTGCTTACTTTCCATTACTGCAAATGCCTACTATTACAAACAAAATCTTCACATTTACATTTTGTGACTGAGACAACGTATTAAAAGGCTTAAAGCATCAAGGAACAGCTTTGAATAGCCTGGACTACTCTGTCCATGCTTGCCTAGCATGCTGACATCTATCTTCATGCTCTGCAGGGAGCAAATTGCAGACATGGCCTTGCACTGGGGGGTAGCAGCAGAAATGATGTTTTTATGGCACAGAGGAACCAATCTATCACTTTTCTCTCATAGAAATCAGTGCAGGCAAAGGAAAGCACCAGCTGGAAACCATAATTCCCTTGGTTGTCTCTTCCTCTTTGTACCTGCGTTCATCAAGAACCCCTGAAGCCTGGTGTGGCTGTCATGCCCCTAGGTATTTTCCTGTGTTCCTGGTGTTCCATTTCCCTTTACTTCAATATGGCCACTTACCTATTCTCTTACTCCACTTTCTAATGCTCTTATTGAATATGGAGGAAGAGGAAGGAATGAAATTACTTTGCTCTAGACAACTTTCTTCTCATCTACAAACTCCAGTTTGAAGAAACAAATAGCCTGGGGCTGTCATCAAGAAGCAAGACATCAAAATGATTAAAAACTTCAGTTCTTGGTAACAGATAGGAGGAATGATGTCTTTCTACAAGGGTCCCCACCTGCCAAGTGAATAGATGATTAAATGACATATCACTGGGTGACACAATGGATTAATGGACCAAGGCATGGAACATCTACAGAAACCACATGTCTGCAGAGGAGAAAACATAGCAGCCATTTATAGTCCTGGCAAACACATAAAGTCTAGGCAACCCTCCTGATTCTGCTGCCACAGTTCAGGAAGCAGGGCAGGCGGGACTTTTCTTTATCTGCAGTATGAGTGTGCAATCAGAAAATCTAAACAGTGCATGCTCTGCAAATGTCTGTGTCTTTTGACAGCAAAACAAACAAACAAACAAAAAACAATGGCTAGGGAAACCAAAAAATTGAAAGGAATTAAAAGACAAGTTCTTTTAAAAAACAGGAAAGTTTGAACTTGACTGTGACAGTAAAGGAAAACCAGGCTGTGACAACTGTGAGATATGTTTTTCCTTTGAGATGAAAGGAGAAGGTTGAAATAAGACAGGATCTAAAGGGGGGGGGGCGTTTGAGTTTTTGCCAAATTTCCCTTCCTTGTAGTCACAAGGATATTTACTTTCTAACAGCCCACAGACTGTTAGAAACAAAAATGATAACTTTGGGTTTAGAGTTTGCAGTAAAGGATGTCTGATCACTGTGACTAGATGTTAAAAGTGTCATCTTTTCTTGTAAATGGTCATCACTCAGTATCCAGTTTCTAGTAACTTCACAGCTGTTCAATCGTTTGTAGTTCACAGCCCCATCTTTATGTGGGATTTAATAATTCTTGTTGAAGTCTTTGAAAATGAGATAACATAGACAGTATACCAGACTTTTAAAAACAGAGATTTATTAAACCTTATCTGCAGTCAGGACAGGGTGAGGAATGAATTTAGAGAGAATTTAGGCACTAGACCATCTGGTCTGTGACGCGATCGCCCTCTAGTGATTCTTTCAAATTAAGCTCGATGTTTATGATTAAACTATAAAAGCTTACCAAACAAAGGTACAGGATTTGGATTTGATAAGTGTCTAACTTGTTTAGCAATCTGTAAAGAATGCATTTTAGGGGGACAGAACATAAGATCCAATCATTATCTCACTCAGTAAAGATCTCCAGCATGATGCGTACTCGTCACATAATCTTTTCATCACCCTTGGCTTCAAAACGCTGAAAGTTACATTTTGACAAATCAAAAGTAGTACATTCTCCATATGTCAAAACAGAGAGAAATTATCTATGATATACAATATTATCAAGTCACCACCTAATTGAAATACATGGATAAAAGGTTAAACCTTGGTGGGGTGGTAAAGGGAGAGAAAGGAAAGATGTGTAAGAGAAAGGATTGCCTCAGACATCTGTGTGAGAATGACATTCTGTAAAATTATAAGTACATTAAAGGAAGGAGGAAGAGAGGTCTGCAGCTCCAGAACTGAAGATGTTTGTAATCAAGAAGCCTGTAATACAAGCAACAGCGAGGAAATGGGAAGGGTTTGCTTCTTCGTTGGTGAAGGCATGTATGAGTGTGAGCAGGGAAAGGAATGGGAGGGGCTTTAAAAATCTTCTAAGGACTATGAGAGAGGCAGAGAGAAAGAGAATGGGGAATAATGAGATGTTTATGTATGCTTCGTTACTGCTATAAAAGAAGATATCTTAAGAATCTGAACACAATATTTGAGTCTTTGTTTTTCTGGTTTTTTTTTTTTTTTTTTTTTTTTTTTTTACTCTGAGCAGATAGACTAAGTGGCTTAAGCAGTAAACATTTTTATCTCATAGACCTGGGGTCTGGAAGCTTAAGATAAGGGTGCCAGCATAGCTCAAACCTAGATCCTTCTCAACCAATTGCCCATTGTATCTCATACACCAGAACCAGAGGGAGAATTCTCTGAGATCCTGGATGCTGGGCCCTGATCTAATTTTCAAAGACACTGCTCTCATGACCCAGTCACCCTACAAAAGCCCTACCTCCCAATACCATCACCCTTGGGCAAGGATTTAAGCTTATGGCTTTGAGATATATAAACACTGTGTCCCTAACACCCTTACTTCATGAGTAGAAGAGACACTGGGTACCAAGCCTTTATCTCCCTGCCTTCTTGTCTTTCCACCTTATATTTGCCCTTAACACAATGCTAGTTTCCTGGTGTCTTGGCTTCTCCAGGAAACAGAGTCCTAGCACATCTTGTCAGCCCTTTATGAATATTACATCCACAAGCTCTCATAGTCTCTAGATTAATAAATACTCTTGAGACTTATTTTATTCCAGTCTGTATTACTCATTTACTTGTATCATATAACTTTTCAGACAAAGGATTCATGAACTCATCTGTGTGCTATGTCTATTTTATGACACATGTCTAATTAACTCTGTTACCTTGGGGTCACATTTGTAAGGGTCAGATACACCTCAGGTTTGTTGTGTGCTTCATTTTGAATTAAGTTTCGACTGTTTTATGTCCAGTAACCTTTTGAGTTTTTATTATTTCACAGCCCTCATGCATAGTTGTGAAACCAGGACCCCAAGTTTTAGAAGCTGTGACCTAAATCAAGTGAAGTAGACTTTGAGAGTAGAAAGCTTGAAGAGATTGTTTTTAATATTCAGATTTGTGTGTGTTTTTTGTTAGGTCAATGTGAGCCAATCTCTCTGGAACTCTGCATGAATTTGCCCTACAATCATACACATTTTCCAAATTACCTGGGCCACAGAACTCAAAAGGAAGCATCTATCAGCTGGGAGTCATCGCTCTTCCCTGCACTTGTTCAAACCAACTGTTACAGATACCTAATGTTTTTTGCTTGTACCATTTTGGTTCCAAAGTGTGATGTGAATACAGGCCAACGCATCCCTCCTTGCAGGTAAAATAAATGGACTACCTACATGCTATCCCAGGGAGAACCAAAAGAACACAAATTCGAGTTTAGACAAAATGAATTTTGCTAAGGACTCTGAAGGTTAGCAAATTCAAAATATGAAGAAGTAGGAATAAAATAGGTATTTGAGGAAGAATTCATCGTTCAAATATCAAACATGGAGGGTGTTAACTTCCTTTCATGACAGGTCACGTGCTTTTTATCTGTGTTCCACTTTGGTGGACCACAACGTATCATTTGGAATGTAAGCTAAGGTTGGGGTGCTGCTCAGTGGTAGAGCATCCTTTAGAATGTATTAGGCCCTGTGTTAGATCAGCAGCATCCCAAAGCAAAAGAGAATGTTAGGGAGCAGAGGAAGTGGCTGTGTCTTCCACTTTGTCTGGAAACACTAATGTATTCATATTTTAGATGGATTAAATGTGTTCTTCATCAGTGTGCTTAAGATGCTTTCCTTTGATAGTGCTTATGGGTTAGTGTGACTCTGTAGGGAGACAAGATAGCTTTCTGCAGGTGGGACAGTGATTCGTGTCACTGACATTTTCCTGATTGTCTCAATGAAAGAAAGACAGCATCTCATGGACAGAGCTTGAGCTCAGGGTCTGAGCGATGTCCTGAGGGCCAGCACTATTACTTTTGGGGTCCATTGTCAGCTTCGAGTCTTCTCTAGCTGCTTTGTGCTCTTAAGACAAATTATTCAGTCTCTTAGGTCCTCGAGTCTTTTCACTGGTGAAATAAATATGTTTGTTGAGTTTCAGTGAGAATTCAAGAAAAGGTTGTGAAGTTAAATAAATGGCAAGGTCCCCAAATTATATGAAAGCTCTGTGGTGACTCATGTAGCTATGAAGATAGTATATAGACTCAATTGCTTGGTGGCAGCTGTGTCCTCTTCTGGGCCACATGTAGGAGGTTGTAGTCAGAAAATGTGCGTATCTGAAATGGCTATTCCAGAAGTCATTGTTGTTACATTCTGCAATGCTGTCTTGCAATCAAGGGTGGCTATGCAGACATACTTACCTAAATGGGAGTGGTAACTACAGAAACCATATGTTGGGATCAGAAGTCACACAGAGTCTTAAGAAAAAGAAATAATACCAATATAGAGGACAGATGGGAAAACAATAAATTTAAGATTGTATATCAAGTGGATGATGAAGTAGGGTATCTCTAGAGTCAAAGCAGGAAACAGTAAGATTTCAGAATGACTTGGGCAGCTGAACAAATCATACAAGATGAAGAGAGTAAAATTTAGTGCTTGCTTGGACAAAAGTAATTCTGAAAATTTCATTACATACTCGATGAAGTATTGTTAGGATATCTACTGATTTCATATTAAAAAGTTATTTGCAAATCTTATTCTGTTTTTGTTAAGAAAGGTCAATGATGATAGTGAATTACTACTTTGAATAGGACTTCCCAAGCTGCATTGATTTTCTTTTTATATCTATGTAAAATTCCCCTAGTTTATCAGTCTTTAACTATAGTTATAAATGTATATCCATATTGAATTTCATGGTTTAAGTTTTAGAATCTAAAATGACTAACTACTTGCAAATGTTTTTGAGATATTGAGTGAACATGTTGATAAACTTCTTTTAGCAACTTTAATTTTGCTTTTTAGCTTTAATGGTATGTCTTTCAATTTCAGTGCCAACAATAGGAATGTTTTGATATTTATACATAAATCTATTTTTATTTTAACAAACTAATGTGCTCCCACACTTGTGAATTAACATATGGATGTTTCTGTGAGTCTGTTTACTAACCTTAACATTTAATTTTTAAGTTGCACATCTGAGGATAACCAACTTTACTGAGCATCCCAATGTGGGAAAAACTTGAGGGTTTTTATATCTTATGTTCAAAATCCCCTATGACTGAGGTTGTACCATCATGATGAGTGCCTACCACTGAGGACCAGGCAGATTTTGACAAGAACTTCCTTGAACTTTTGATGTTATTGTTAGTATTTTTTCACTTTATACTAAAATTCAGAAGTGGCAGAGTCAATTGTTACCATTCAGAAGTGGCAGAGTCAATGGTTACCTTGTACATTTGTTGTATATCTAGTAAAACTCTAATCCAAAAGATAGTGCCCAAATAATATTGAACTTAGCATTCTTTTCAAACTGATTATGAGAATGACCCATATTCATTATTGTTGAAAATTCCAAACCTAAACTAGAAATTGAGTTTTATCTTTAGATAAAGCAAGCAAGCAGTACTGATGGAAGCTGAAGAAGGGGAAACATAGGTACAGCCCCTGGTAAACCAGTGCAACACAGGAACCCTCGACCCCCACTACTCATCAAAGAAAAACTCAGCTAGAGGCTTTTGTGTAGGCTCATGGTCCATAGCAACAGACTATAGGAAGTGATGTTGGGCATTCCTCAGCTAGAGGCTTTTTGTAGGCTCATCATCCATGGTGACAGATCATAGGAAGTGATGTAGGGCATGCCTCTGATTACAACCAAAGACTGGATAATGTTTGCCTGAAACACAGTAAAGTAGAAAGCCAAGGGTAAGGCAATCTGAGTCCTGAAGAGAACTTCATTGTTCTGTCTGCAGTGCAATCTCTTTTGGCGAAAGCTGGTGGATCCTCTTTGTAGAAATTTTGCTTGTTTGGGTTTTCTAAGTGCATGTGTCTATGCATTCGGATATGTTTCTACACACATCCTTATACATACAGTCCCACATAGAATTAAAACCTAAATGTAATCTATGCATACAATTACAGTGAAGCTATATGACTTATGACATGCTGTCTTTCTGCTTGTAGACTCCTGTGTGAGCACTCCAAAGAGCATTGTGAGTCTGTTCTTGGGATGGTAGGTCTCCAGTGGCCTGAAGACACAGACTGCAATCAATTTCCAGAGGAAATTTCAGCCAATCAAACTTGCCTCCTGCCCAGTGAAGATGTGCAAGGTTAATGTTCCAGTCCATTCCATTTGGGCATGGATTAACATGTCAGTCAGTTTTTGCTGTCCCTGAATTAGGGAGGGTTGTTGTTGGCTTTCCATTTAGTTATCAATTATGCTTCACGGGTACATGATGCTAAAATATACTTAATTACCCTAGAAGGCTCTGGCACCTGTCAGCTGTTATCATTGCTATCACATATAAAATATTTTTAAGAAATGAAAATGAACTCAGAGATGAGCTTAGTCATGTAGGTATGTTCCACTTTATGCATATTCCACTTACAGAGTTAGTTATTTGTGGATTTTGTTTGTTTTAGGAGCTGTGAAAGTAATGATAAACAATTGCACAAGGAATTTCAGGTTCAGGTCATTGTTAGGTGTCCATTTAGTAAGGTAATAAATTATTGAAAAGCACAGGTTCTAAGTGCTGATCTGGACAGGTAGTACCAAGGATGAAAGAGAGGGATAGAGATGAGCAGATAGAAGAAATCCAAGTGAACTTCAGGTGCTTTAGCTGTGTGGAGACCTGTTCTAGCTTTAGTACTTGCCCATTCACAACAGCCCAAATGGAAACACAGATGCTAGTTGGCATCTTTGCAGTTCTGTCCACTGAGATTCATACTGCTTTTTGACAGAATGTTCACCGAGTCACTTCAAGTGTCGCTCAGGACGGTGTGTTCTGGGTTCCAGAAGATGTGATGGTCAGGCTGACTGTGATGATGACAGTGATGAAGAGCACTGTGGTATGTGTATGAGATGACATTTTTTTCATGTACAGTAGTAACTGCCAAGTATAAGAAACTGTGCTGAAATATGTAAACAGTTTTCTTGCTCTAGGAAGTGGCATCTGGTCTAATGCTAATGCACTTACTTCTGACATCAACAGGCCATAAGGCATGAACTGATATGATTTTTCTAGTAAATTACAGTTTAATATATAATAAAATTACAATTTATGTCATATGTATACATGTACATATATATTGAAAGGAAAAAGGAAAAGTTTACAAATGTGAGGAACCATTTTTGTTATTAAATTACAAAGCAGTTGCTACTTGGTTTATTACAAGAATAATGATGTCTTCCCATAGCCTTCCTGAGCTGCTAATCAGGCATCTGCATCCATGAAGACAGTTCAGGCAACAGTGCTCACATTTAATGGAGAGTCATTTTCATGCCCCTCTTGCTTTGCCTCTGTTGCCTGCTTGACACTTTTCCTATTGAGCCCTAAAGCCACCAATGGGGACTGAAGATTCCCATGGCAATGGGAACACAGCCACTCTCAGTTTATTTTCCTGAAAACTGTACTTCTTGCAAGCTGAAAACATGCCAGGGATCAGAACACAGACAATGTGTTTCAACAAACAATGCCCAGCATCCAGCAGAAGGACTGAAGTGCTATCTAAAAGCTACCTTGCTTATGATTATTTAGTCTGTCATACCCACAAATAAAACTGACACTTCATTTGTTGGAAGAACATAAGGCAATATATCCTTTTGAGATCATTCCATTCCATTGGCCTTTGAAGAATGAAATATTGCCTTTCCCCTCAAAATGAATTTTCATAGTACATATTGTTCTCCTGGCCAAGACAAAATGCCATAAGCAATCAACTGAACCACTATCAGCTTCTATAAATATGGACGCACACTTCCTCTGGAAGATTACAGCTGTCAGGATGTTGGTACTGAGGTCAGTGTAATTTTGCTATGAAGCAATATTAAATAGTTTGAGAACTTACTATAGTTGGTCAGTTTGTGAGCTTTCTATAAAAAAATAATAAAACTTTACTGTCACATCAGTAGTATATCCAGAATGTATTAGATTGTTCAGTTAAAAACTTTGCTGGAGTATGGTATTCTAAGGTATGGTTTAAGATAGATTACCTTAGGTTATTAAACCTTAGGTTATATAACCTTAGGTTATTAAAAGTGGTTTTATGGCTCTATTAATAGTGACTCTATTTCATTAGGTGACTAATTATTTGGCAAATGCTTAGTTTAAAAAGTAATGGTTATGCTGCTTGGGGTGCATACCTGAAATCCCAGCACTTGGGAGGTAGAGGAAAGAGGTTGAGAACTGAAGGTCATCTCCAGTTATACAGTGAGTTTAAAGCTAACTGGGGCTGCTACATGAGGCCTCAAATTGAGAAAACAAAACAAATACAATAAAAAAAATACATCTTACCAAGAATAAATTGTCTCCATTCTAAAATACATTATGAAACATTATCTCACAGGACTATAATATAGTATTTACATGACCCTAAAATATCAAGATTTTAGTTAAATAATAAGTGTTTTCATAAAAGCTTTAATCTTATAGTTAACAGACTTCCACAATGATAAAATAAGTCTTATTTAATTTTCAAAATATCTTGTCTACCATTGATAGCTCTGATGTGAAAAGTTAGAAATTGATAAAAAAATAATTCATTTAGAGCTAAATTAATTGTTTTAATAGTAATAATTCACTTGAGAAAATTTGCACTGGGTTTTCCAAAGTGATTCGTGATGGATAAATTCCTCTTTGGCATTCATGCATGCACTCAGATGGGCTGCACAGTGTGCTGGGAAGCGGCATCATTGATGATTAATTAGATAAAGAAGTCAGGTGGTCAGGCCCCAAAGGATTCTGGGTACACCATCCAGGGTATCAGTCTATACTCTGCTATTAACCTCTGTTTTCATGTGCACACAGGCCCGTGAGGAAGTAGAAACAGGGAAGTTGGGCTGCATTCCACCTTCGTCATTTCTCTGACTTATTCTATGTGTCTTGCATTTAAGGTGCTCTGTGCTTGGGTCTGCCTGTCGTGATTGCACAGCTCACATAGAAGTTTTAACAACACTACTGGGGATTCCCCTCAAAACAACACTTATTTCAGTTATGAAATATTTGATGTGTCAGAAATTAAATTGACTGTGTATTTCTTATCAATTTTGTATCTGGAAATGTGATTACCAAAGCACATAAATTATAGATGTACTCCCAAAATAATGTGTGAGAACTTAGCAAAGAGAATTTTGCTCCTAGTGGCTCCTGCTCTCATGATTAAATTTGTTGCAATTGCTGACTGTCTTTGTTATGGTTTACTATTGCTGTGAGGAAACACCATGACCACGGCAACTCTTATAGAGAAAATACTTAAATTGAGGAGGCTGGCTTATAGTTCACAGGTTCAGTCCATTATAATAGGGAGCATGGCAGTATACAGGCAGGCATGGTGCTGGAGAAATAGCCAAGTGTCCTACATCTTGCAGGCAACAGGAAGTCAACTGATTCACTGGGGAGTATCCTGAGTATGTGAAACCTCAAAGCCCACCTCCATAAAGACACACTTCCTCCAGAAGGTGTAGTCCAGATTAAAGGTGTGTCCTCCAGACTCAAGGTCTAAATTAAAGGTGTGTGCCATCCAGCCTCCTCCAACAAGATCACACTTCCTCCTACAAGGCCACACCACCTAATAGTGCCACTCCCTGTGAGCTTATTGGCGCCAAATACGTTCAAGCTACCACACTAACATAAATAAGCATTGCAAGGTTTGCTAATATTCAGAATGTTTTTTAATAAATGCTTGGGGGGGGGTCTGTGCAAGCCTAAAGGTTTCACCGAAGAACTGACTCACAGAAGGCAAGACATGGAAGAGATTAGTACTTCCTCATCGTGCAGGTTGATAGCTTTCAGGGATAAAACATATAACATATCCATATATAATTAAACTAGTAACTTGATCAAATCAGTTTCAACATAAGACTTTCCATGAACCAAACAGTAGAGAACAAACAGGCCTGAGCAGAGAAGCAAACATGGAAGACATAAAGAAAACAGTGGGATTTTGTTTGCTTATTTGCTTGCTCGCATTTTGGTTTCTTTTAATACTATTTATTTTAAGTTTTTAAGTTTTTCATTTTTATTATTCCTTTTTAAGTTTTCCTTTGGGAGGGAGATGCTATAAGGATGAAGGGTAGATGCAGAGGGACTAGGAAATGAGTGGGATTGGAGTGCATAAGGTAAAATTCTGAAAGAATAAATAAAAACTTGTTAAAAAAACAAAAGAAAAGAAAGCAGCAATGAGATTCTCTATTTGAGTTTTGCTGTCAGGCTTTCACATTGACTATATAAGGCTGAGGTTTGCTTTCATTAGGGTTATGACCTGTCTGGGTGAGATAGTATGTAAATGTGGTACTCTGTTGCAGACAGTGGGTCTTCTCAGTGGGGCCATTAGATAAGAATATGGCTTAAGCAAATTCTTTATATCTAATGTAAAAGTAAAATCTTTAATTACCTTCTGATTATTAAATAATGAAAACCTCGAGAAAGATGGAGAGAAATACAAATTGTTGCTTGATTATTTATCTTCAAATTAACGAAAACACATTTATCGACTATCTTTGGTCTTCTATTAAGCTCAGATCAGACAAAAACTTTAGATGTAACTAGAAAAGTTTCTCAGAGACCGATTCTCTGAAGGTCTGCAGAGGATCATTAATGTGATACTTAAGAAGTTTTAGGAAAGTGTTTTGTATGTTTTTGTCCTCTTTAAGGGCACTGAAGTAATTTATCACACAGAAGGGTGTTATGTGTGGATGAGACTGCTCAGCTCTGTGGTCATCAGAAGAGTAAGTCATCGTGTTCATACACGGGGAATAGCCCTAAGTGTGCTTTTAGGATGAATCTGTGTGTTTGTTTTCTGACCTCTGAACAGGCCTAATTCCTCCTCCCTGCTAAAGAAGAGGAATGGTCTTCCCCTTTGGTATTCTGCTGCTCAGTTGTGTAATGGATAGGCAACTTAGAATGGTAGAGTGCTCTGGGGAGACTTAGACTTGGTGTTCAGACTTAGTGTTTAGAGAACTTGACAATTTTAGCTTTCTATTTCACTTTCCTAGAATTCACTTGCATGTTGTGATGCACCCCTCTTTATCATTTATAACTTAAAGATTTATAATTTCCCATTCTGATCTTCAGAAGACAGTGGGCAGGAAACCAGTTGCCATGGTATTAGGGAATCTAAGAGGAAATTCCCTTCTAAATTCACCCTGTTCACCTTGCTTGGGGAAGGGGTTCTGTTTGCCTTGGTCTTGTTTCAGACAGCTGATTTTAGCATGGCAAAGCTGAGCTGGACAAAGTCCCCAACTTTTAATATATATATGTTGTCCTAGAGACAGTAATTATTGGGGAAGGATGATCCTGTTTCCAGAATTTCAGCCATTGATAGGGATCCTCGGTCAATGGATAAAACCTTACTATTCCCTCCTCCTGCCTCTTCATAGGGCATTAAGTCACTGTGTGTTAAAGAGGACATAAAGTGTACATTCCCTAGGAAATAGAAGAATTGGGAAACCCACCAAAACTAAAGATGTAGGTCATAGCTATAGGGCCTGTGATGTTTTCATGATGGTCAACGCTCAGAGCCCAGCGGCGATGTAGGCTATCTATGTTGACTGATAGGATGGACATTGGGAGGAGTCAGGATCATGAATACTCTTGCAGGCTCTTCATGCCTACTCAACCCGAGCCCTGGCTGTCCCACCTCATGTGACTCATGTGACAGTCCTTTTGTGGGGCATATTCTGACCCAGTGTCTCTGGAGCTGAACTGTTTTCACCCTTCATCAGCTCAGACCCGAATCACATTTTCTCGTTCCCCATTCTTAGCAGCTCTGGCCTGACGAGTGAAATGGGTTTCATTTCCTACAGTTAAGAGGATGAGTGGACCTCATATTTGCATAATAAGATTTTTATACAGCAAGGATATCTGTTTTGGGTTATGCTTTGCATATGAAGTGTTATAGAAGTGTCTGTGTTAGGGTTATGATTTGGATGTGAAGAATCCTTGATTCCTGGCTAGTAGAACTTCTCACTGAGAGGTCATTGGAACTTTAGATCCTAACCCAATCTGCAGATTAACCCCACAATTCAGTGGCATTACCGGCAGGTGATGGAAACTTTGAAAAATGGGTCTTATTTGAGGAAGTGAGTCATTGGGTGTAGATTCTTGAGACTATATTGTGTTATTTTGTTATTTTGTCCTGGGCTTCTTTGTCTTTTTCTGATTCTTGGATACCATGAGGTGAACAGGCTTTCCCTATTCCAGCTGAATGCTTAACTGGTGCAGGACTGATATCAATAGAGCCAACCATAGTATATTGTCTCAGTAATGAAAAGGATAACACACACACACACACACACACACACACACACACACACACACACACACACACACACACTTTCCATAGTGATTCACTGTCTTTACTTATAACAGCCATTTTGGTTTTTTTTTTTTTGGTAGAGAAACCAGGAGTCCAATTCAGGTAGGGCCTGTCTCTGGCAATGAAGACTGTTTCATAGAGTGTCTGCAAACATGAGAGGTATAATGAGTGAACTGATGCTTAGTGAACTGATTGCTAAGCCAATTTAAGGTGATGAGCCATTCCCGTTTGCCTGGGACCAATGGGGTTCTTGGGACAAGGAATATTTGGTGCTTGAACTAGGAAAGTTCTGGGAATATCAGTTATCAAAGTTGATAACTTACTTAGCACTGTCCTCTTTTGGTGTACTTTGCTATTCTCCCTGTGCTGCATAGTTGATATTTCATCTCATAGCCTAAAGCTGCACGAAGTACCTTAACTCATACTTATCTGTTCTAAGGAGGCTTTCACTTTGCTTTTAAAACATACATTGAACACATACTTACACCAAAAGTGTTACTTTGTAGACAAAGTCGATTCTTCACAAATAATACTATCTTCCATGGGACAGGTGCCATGACCTCCTTTCATTTTATTTCATCTATTCTCACCATCTTTTCCCCTAAGAGATGTTTGGTTGTAGAAAATGTACAAATGCTCACAGAATACTCCCTTAGAGTTGGAGATCAAATGAACAGTAGATGATGAACGCCATCGCCTCTTCTTACTACTGTTTGTGAGCATACACTGCAGAAGGCCATATGCCCAGTAATCTGTTCCTGTGTTTGTTTTTATATTAATCCCTCCCAGGAGTACAAGTTCTTCATTAATTCCAAAGGTCTTCTCTCATCCCCTACCTGCATAGTGGTTTCTCCAACAATAACAAAAAGTCAGATCTTCTGTGTTCGCCCTGTTCTCTGGTAAAATGAGAACTTCAGGCTGTTAGACAGGAACTGGGGCCCATGGCAGATTTCAGAGTCCATTTTGAATATCTAGAGGACATCATCTTCAGAACACTGCAGTTAGGCTTGCCTTCCGCTAGTTGAAAACTCCAAATACCTTGAATCAAAGAACAAACACTACAGATGAGTGGCCAATGAAGGACTCTTGCCATTTATCTCTCATTTATTTGGGTAATGAAAACACTCTAAATCTGGTGGAGTATTTTGATCCTTGTTTGAAATTATTCTTTTTTAACAGTGAGGTTTTTTTTTTTTTTTTTTTTTTTTTCTCATAATGGATTCCAAGAATCCTAAGTTAATCAACCATGAGATTTCTCTGAATTCTTTGTCATAGGTCTGATGAAAAATGATATTTTCAAAGAGTATCCTTATTTGGTCACTGCTTTGCATTTTAGATACCTTAAAGTATATTTTCCTGAGAACCAGAGTTTTTTGTTTCTTAGATGAAGTGAGGTTACATTTGAATTAACCATGTTTCTACCATATGCTAACCACTGATTTAGGAAAAATGATGGGCATCAAAAAGGTCAAGGGAACACTTGTCTATAATCAGACAGGTGGATCTTGAATTCGAGGACAGCCTTGTCTACACAGTGAAACCATCTCAAAAACCGAAAGCTCATAACACTTTAAAGCCATGAAATCATTTCTTTTGTTGTGCCCAAATTCTGAATCCCAAAGTCACCAAGAGACCCATTCTGATGCAAAAGCAATGAGTCTTTTATTGTTTTTATGACTTAACTGAATTAACTCGCTTGCTTGCTTCCTCTGACTGTCTGAAACAATAGGTGGGACAAGAAGGACCCAGAGGGACAGAGGGGCAGGGAATTCATTGTGGGGAGCAAGGGGAGTGCCGGGGTCCACAACAGCCACAGGATTGGTGGACTGCCAGGCTTGGATGACCTGTCTTGTGTTGATTGGCCAGCTGCAACAGGTAGGTTGCTATGGCCTATAGGCCCTCCTAGGTTGGTTGTTATGCTCTGCATTCCACTATTACCTTAAAGCACACACAGAGCCTACCAGCTAACTTCTGATTGGTTCCTTGCCACATGGAGGGTATCTGGCTTCCTGATGGGAGGTAAGGTCAGAAGTTCAGCACATATTCCTGAGTCAGGGGCCTTTGTCTTGCTGGGTCTTTTCAGCAGCCTGTCCTGGCTGCTAAAGCAGGGGCCTCAGTGAGGATCTGGTCTCTTCACTTTCATTCCCTCACAGGATAGTAAGGATCGTGGATCTTCTGGGGCATCTAGTGAAAATAGAATCTTGATGTATCTAAGCTGATATTCAAACACATTGCACTTAAGTCAAATGATAGGTAGTGAGTGTAGTAGAAGTATTTGCTTCTTTTGGGGCTTGAACTTGAAGTTTGAGTTATCAACTCACAGTCCTGGTTTTTTCCAAATTATTTCTGTCTTCCATATTAGCTGATGAGGTTCCCACCCTTAGATGTCTAGCCATCAAAAGCATTGGCTTTTGCACTTGGCTCTTAAACAAATTTTTGTAGGTACTTAGCGTACCAGGACCTCTTTCATGAAGTATACAGGTGGCCCCTCAGTTTGTAGACTGAAATTACAATTTAAGATCACACACATTTATGTCTATAGGCATAAGAAGCCGCTTTATAGATGAACCTTGCACTCTGGCAATTTGACTTAGAAAGCAAAAAGAATTACTCAGGAAGGATGTTAATGCATAGCCGCTTGGTTTTGTTTTGTTGTTGTTGTTTTCTTAACTTTTTCCATTTCCCATATGTTGATTTGGATCTTGTTAGGAGAGCTGTTCTGTTCGTCATGCAGAATGGGGACTACTGGATGCTCCTACTTCCAAAATCACATTACTCATAGTAATCACAGATTTTCGAACTCTCAAGAAGAAATCATGCCTTTGTACTGGAGTTTTCCTTTTTACATTATTTAATTAAATGTCATCATCATTTTCATCAACTGTGAGTCTATCATTAATAGCTTTTTCTTTTGTTTCCAGGTTGCAAAGAGAGAAATCTTTGGGAATGCCCATCCAATAAACAATGTCTGAAGCATACATTGGTCTGTGATGGGTTTCCAGACTGCCCTGATGGTGTGGATGAAAAAAATTGTTGTGAGTACCCTCATGAATCTGTTAACAGGGTTTTTTATTTTAAATTTTCATTGTCTCACTTTAAATATAAGCTAGAAATTTGGAAATACATATCAAAAGTTTTTAGTTTGTTTAGTTTTTCCAATTAAGCTTATGTTTATAAAGGTACATATTCCAAGAAGATAAATATCTACAAAATACATACACATATAATTTTATCAATATGGAAAGATTAAAATATCCTACAGTATCCAAAAGTGGAAGACATAAAATGCAACCATAAGATGAAATATTAAAGTGCCACCATAAGATATCAATATTAAATTCAAAGTAGAGAAGAATAATTTGACCTGGGTTTATTACAAATCTTTAGTTGATGTGATAGTTGGTTTCCTGTTAGTTAAACAGGATGCCCTAGGCAATCAATTTAAGAAGTTAGGTTTATTTTGGCTTGTAGTTTGGGATGTTTCAGGCTATTATTTTGTAGACTCATTGTTTTTGAGCCTGTGGCAGGAAAGAATATCATGGAGGAGAGGAAACAACAAGGATGCATATTAACCTCCAGGCTGTGTATTAGAAGAGAGAAAGAGGATGCACTGGCCCCTCTGTCTCATTCAAGGACATGCTTTCATTGGCTGCAAGATGTCCCTAACATCTTCAACCTTCTTAAACAGTTTTTCAGCTTTCTAATGGCACCAGGGGCTTGAGACTAAAACCTCAAGATATGAGCTTCAAAGACAGTTTATTCCAAACACAGCAGTTGAATAATAGAAAACATTCAGTAGTATATGCACTGTTGTTCTGCATTTTAGTAGTCTATTTATGTACATAAAGAAAAATAATAGAAGATCATAAAAAGGTTTACATTTATCTTATGATGGTAGGATTAAGTTTCATGCTTTTGAAATCTTTTATGTCTGAATGATATATAGTCATTATCTTTAGAACCAGTTAAAAATTTCTTAAAGCACTTTTCTTGAAAGTAACAGAATGCTCAACTCTAACAAAAATGAAGATATTTGTTAATATGTGAATCATACATGTCTTATTATAGTAAAAAATCATGCAAAGTGAATTAATTAGACTATAGTAGAAATACATCATCTTTACTCTTTTAATTTAGCTTGACCTCAGGCTGGATGGTCAAAAGCCAAGAGCATCTGGGTGGGTGAGCTGCCTTGATCATATTCTATAGGAAGAAGGAAGGATGTGTTCCTTGCTCTGGAAGATCACTGAGAGATTTCCTGAGGGTCAGCACTGGGCAGAGTCACAGTTTGTAGCAAGGGGCTTTTGTGTGGATTAGAAAAGACATTCTTTACAAATACTTAACACACAGCCCCAGGCAGGGATTAGAAGGAGCTGTCTGCTCCAGTCTGGCCTAGTTCCAAGACTAAGGCACTCACATGGCCTGACCCACAGAGTTTGGGTGGATGCTGTTTTGCAATGCATAAATCATAAAATAATAGACCAAGGGTCTGTTATGGAATCACACTTAATCCTGGACTAGTAATTACTCTCAGATAAGAGTAGTCAGAAAAATGCCATGCCTATGTTAAACTAATCAAGATTTTCCTCTGGGGCTTGGGATGGCTGGTATGAACCTGGACAAAATCAGGTTTCCTTTTTACGGAAGGAAGAAGGGAAATGGATGCTAAGAAGGCAATCAAGGAGATTTACTATAATTTTTAAAAATTCAAAAGAGATTTATATGTGACTCGGAGAGTAATTTAATAGTAAGATCCTTAAAATGCTATCTATCTACACGAACAGAGCTTATTTTCCTGCCACAGTGTCTTCAGTTTGCTTCCTCAGACATTATCATCCTCTTCCTTCTTGGTACCCTTGCCAGCATTTTGCCAGGATAATGAGCTGGAATGTGCCAACCATGAGTGTGTGCCACGTGACCTGTGGTGTGATGGAGAGTCGGATTGCTTGGACAGCTCAGATGAATGGGACTGTGGTAAGCTTCTGGTGGCTGCCATCTGCCCAGAATTCACATGCTTGTCAGCCATTTACACTAAATGAATCCTCAGTTACTTCACGGGTTTTACCAACCAAGTTCATCTATTTTTGTTTAACTATTTAAAAGCTGGCAGTAGTGATTCATGGGTATTATTTCTAAGTAACAAAAAAAAAATTCCCCCCAAGTTACAGCTCTGTTTGAAATGTCTATATTATGTGTGTACTATTCCACATTCAAATGTCTGGAAGCATGTCATTTTTAGACTTAGATTTTATTCATCACTCAAGTTCAATAGTGGTGAATAATCAGTCATTCTTGGATCATTACTTCCCTGGATGAAGATATGGGGGTCTCTTTGTCGGCTCTATGCCTTGCCCCTCATCCAGATGGAATTTCTGCCAACTTCCTACCAAGGGAAGGACTTGAAGTCATCTCTGCTAATGTGGCATCTTGTTATCTTGATTTTTCTGACCCATCCCTTCATTCTACACACATCACTCTTCTCATTCACTCTGCTTCTATCTTAGTCTTCTGCATCCTCTGACTAAGTCCTGTGTTTCCTGTGTGCTGTGATCAGGTACATAGTATTCCACAAATGAACCAGTGCAGAGGCTAGGGATCTGTGCATATGTGACCCGGAATTAGCACCACCTTCACATACTTCCATTTTCAAATGCTTGAAAAATTCATGTAGTTTCAAATATCTCCTTACAATTAGTTCTGCTAATCCCCAGATGACTTCAAGGCACCAAGGCTCTGCCTCTGGCCATCTTCTAACTCATAAAGAAATGTCAAGAGCTGCCTTTCTCTTTCACTAGAGTCTGCAGCTCTTTGAAAGCAGAGCACATAATGATTTCACTTTTTCTAGTCTCCTGTCACATTGAGGGAGCAGTGATTTGCACATAACATGTCAACCCCAAATGGTTCTCAACTAAAATAAATATGAATGAATGTATGCAGTCAAAGCAAAGACATACAGACCTCTGCTTCTCAGGAGAAGTGTTTTTAATTAGGCTTTCTCGTATTTTTCCCCCTCAGTGACCCTCTCTAAAAATGGGAGCTCCTCCTCATTCCTGGCTGTTCACAGATCTGCAACAGAACACCACGTGTGTGCTGACGGCTGGCAGGAGATGTTGAGTCAGCTGGCCTGCAGGCAGATGGGTTTAGGGTAAGGTCAGTAGTTTGTAGCATTGATGAGTTTCTCAGAGGGATCCATGAACCTTAGCAGTAATACCTTCCTTATGAATGATGGAGACCTGGAAAATAAGAGCCCCCCAAAGCCTTGGAAATGAATCCGGTGTGAGGAACTTATTTAATTCTAGGCACCTGCTCTGTAGACTGTGGGCTGCAAATCTATTATGATGAAGCCTTGAAAATAAATGAAGTAATTATATTTTAAGCACTTCTGAAATGGGATACGTTCACTACTTATAAAAGCATTCAGATGGTCTCTTCTGTGGAACCTGGATGGAAAAGTCTTCATGCCCCTTCCTGAGGTTATTGGAAATTTCTTTTTAAGCAACACACTTTTTTTTTTTTTAAAAGGCAAGTTGAGAAATAGAAGCTGAAGCTGCTGGTATTTCTATTTATCCTAAGTAATACAGGAAATATACATCAAGGAAAAAGACCTACTCTGGGCTTTACATACCCAGGCTGAAATGGACACTTTAAATGGGGAGGAATACTATTTTGTTAGGTGTTCTGTTCCCATTCCTTCAGCAAAAGAAAGCCGCCATCTGCATCACCACAGATCACCACAGAACATATACAGGATGTCGTATACATATGTATCTGTTATGTGACTTATATGGCATTGTGATTTGTTATGGTAGTGAGATATATATATATATATATGAGATTTTAGTGTAAATACAGGAATCAGGGAAATAAAAGGTAAGGGAGTCTTGTAATTCCAGAGGTAAATTCAGAGTTAATGGAATTTTTTCAGGATCCACTGAGCAAATAAAAATTGTTTACAACAATGAGGCATTCAGCTCAGCAACTAGCTGCATGTTTTTGCTGTCCCAGTTTGAAGACTGTATCACTACTAACATCTTGAACCCTGTTCTCCCATGTCAAGGCCCACATTTTTGGAAATTTGAGTAACTGGCACTGTTTATAATAAAAGAATTTTAATGTTTTCCAGCATTAGAAAAAATATAGCTGTCATGATCTATTGAATTATTGTATCCAAATGAAATGGGATATGATTTTGGTTAGATAAATGGAAAAGCCCTTGAAAGTGCTTATCTTGTGTCTCTCACCAAGACCTAGGGGTATTTCTTAATATGAAAATTCAATTACATAATGAGATTAGCTCTACAGAGAGTTCCGAGGATAAGTCAGACCTGCAGATTTACAACCAGAGCCACAGTTTTGATAAGCCACCATAAACATAGCGGTTGAATTGCAAATAGAAGAGATCTTGTTTTAAATGTCTCTATCATTTTTGTGTATTTCCCACATATTAGACTTTGAGCTATTTTGGTTGCATTTGGCATACTTAGTGTTGTATTACTGGCCTCTGTTGCCTCAGTCTAGCACATTTCTGTCACTGCAAAATTAAACTATGTGCCCATATGTAGTCACTCTCAACTGTCCTCCAGAGCCAGTAAATCATTCATATACTTTTCATCTCTATGCATTTCACTACTACTCTGAATGTTTTTATAATGAAGCATCTAGCATGTGATCTTTTTGCCTAGATAATACTCTCAAGCATGTGTGTTACAGTATATGCCAACTCTTCATTATTGTTCATAGCTAAATAATATTTCATTGAATTGTTATACATGTTTAGACTGCTCCCATTTCCAGTGTTATTCCATAGTCAATTATCACTTCAAACGTTTGAGTTGTTTCTACTTCTTATTTTTTTAATGCATATGAGATTTTAAAATAACCAGATAGGATATGAATAACTTCAATCCCAATATCAGGAAGTAGAGAAAAGAGGATTGCCTCAAGTTTGAAGTCACCCTGGTGTGGCTTCAAGGGCAGCCAGACCTATAGAGGTACTCTGAAAACAAAAGTTCACGTATTCCATTTTCCCTAGTTTATGACTCTGCTTTGTTTTGTTTTTTGAGACAGGGTTTCTCTGTGGGCAGTCCTGGCTGCCCTAGAACTCACTCTGTAGACCAGGCTGGCCTCAAACTCACAGACATCCACCTGACTCTGCCTCCCCGGTGCTGGCTGGGATTGAAGGTGTGTGCCACCACAATCCAGCTACTTTTTCAACTCTGAAAGTAAAATGTTAATATTTTAGATAAAGCCCCAATAGATGTATGGATGCTTTTATTTTTGATAACTTTTGTCCACTGAGAGGCAGGGAGAATCTAAGGTAGAAATATAGTTGAAAAGCCATGACTGAATTCATGAGTAAATAGTATCAGGTCATCTAAAACTGGCTTCAGCTATACTTATAAATTTATTTTACTGCCTCACACACTGACAGAAACACAGAGAGGCTGAAAAGGCAAAGAATGAAGATGATGGCTAGGTGAGGTCACATTCTTGGTGCGAGGATAGGCTGCTTGGAAAGATGCTGTTTCCTAGGTCTCTGGAGACTAGCTATGTCATACAAATTCATACTTCTGCTACTGATGCCTCAAACAATTTCTAAATAGCCTTCATCTTGGAGTCTCAGTCATTGATTTCAAAGTCTTTCTGACCATGATTGGTCTACACTCTGGGTTGGAGTGGGAGGAGAATGGCTTTCTTTCTTTGGTTTCAGAATGGAGTGTTCCTTGCACTGGCTGGCCTCTAGCTTTTTTTAGTCAAAAAATTGAACCTTAGAAATCAACCCTTAATTGGTTCTATTCATCTTCCATCTAGTACTTTTTTTTTTATTTTGTGGAGTATGTGCTTATGAGCAAAGATCTAAACTGGACTTTGCGCAGGGGATACAAAGGGGAATGCCATCACTGGGCTTGATAGTGTAATAGGAAAGACATTTGGGAGAACAACAAAGAACATAAAGGTTGGCTTTGCTTTAATATTTGACAGTTCTTCCCCAGCAAGTAAACCTCAGTAGGCAATGGCAGTATTAATCCTACCAGGGAACACTAGAGACTACTGGGTAATACAATAGATGGTATCTTTGACTATGGTTTTGCCCAAAATATAGAAACATTCTCCAAAGAGATGATTCTTTTCTTTTGATTAACTTTAAAAGATTAAGGCAAAAAAGTTCAAATTACAGCTAACTCCATAAAGAAATCCTGCCTGTCAAATAGATCCAAGACACAGTTCTGCAGATGAGCTCACATTCTGTAGAGATAGAGACGTGGAAGTTCATATTCCCCTAAATTTATCCTCAAATGCTAGATGTCTCAAACCTGCATTTGCTGAGGATTAGAGGGAAGAATAAGTTCTGATTTGTGTTATTCATTAAGTACAGGTGTGTATGTTTTTGATACTGAAAGTAGAAGTCAATACACTGTCAAAAGACCTCACGATCTTGATTTATACCTTCGTCTAACCAGCAAAGCATAGTACTTCCAGCCTGGGGAGAACCCTGAAAGAACCTACAGCTGAGAGGAAGCCTTCAGGTTCAACAAAAAAACTTGGACAATTACGGGTCTACCATTTTTGCTCCAAGAAATGGATAGCAGAAACTGAATCTGAAAAAAAGCCCATGTACATCCTTTTAATCAACTCTACCAGAAATATTGCTGTGCCATCCCTGAAAACACATATAATATCTGCTTTTGTTTTTCACTTTTTCTGTTTTGCATAGTGTTTTCCAAGTTCATCCATATTGTTGATTTATGATGTTGCAACAAATAGTCACCTGTAAGCATCCATACATTTTCAAGTTTCTTGGATAGAAAATACTTAGAACTAGAATTACTCTAGCAAATGATAACTTATATTTAATTTTTAAAAGAGCTACTAAAGTCTTTTCCAAAGGTGCTATAGCATTTCATACTCCTGTCATCAAGGTATTAGTTATAGTTTCTTCATATCCTTGTCAGCTCTGCTTGTTAAGTAATTTTTGATAGCCAGTCTAGTGGGAATGTGAAAGTATTTTCACTGTGATATTGATTTGCATTTCCATAATTGATAATGGTATACAACACAGTTAAAAAAATTTTAGTCATTCATTTCTGACTTATATTCCCAGAAAAGATAGAACTCTTTATCCTTATGGATTCAGTCTTTTCATTTTGTGTATATAAATGTTTTCTTGCATATATGTCTGTGAACCATGTGTATGCTTGGTGACCATGGAAGCCAAAAGAAGATATAAGATCCCCTAGAATTGGCGTTAATGGACTGTTGTGAGCCACCATGTGACTGCTGGGAACTGAACTAGGATCTGCAAAAGCAACAAGCGCTCTTAACCACGTAGCCATCCATCCCTCCAGATTTCTTTTTATTATTAATTATCTGAAAAAGTCATGCACGTGTATAGTATATTTTGATCACATTCATTCCTCATTACCTTCTTTTGTGTTTATTGGCTGGGAAAAATCTACCCTATACAGCATAATCCAAGGGTTTTTTACTTCTTGGGAAAAAGTACAGTACTGAGTTTGCATGTCTGAGTAGAAACCACATGAAGCAAGCCCATGGAGCGCCATGACCTTCACATGGCAGTTTTGGAACTTTTGTGTAGCTTTTTAGTTGTATACATAGGGAATTAATTTCTTTACAATCCTAAAATGTTGGTGGTTAAGTGTCTAGGTAGAAAGAAAACCTAGAGTTCAATGTGTGTGTTTATAGTGCTTCCTAGAATGTTGTATTTTTGGTGAAAAGGGAATAATTTTCCTGAAAAGGTAGCCTGAAAAGGGAGAGGATTTTTAAAAAGTTTTTTCATGAGACTACTTGGCATATTCTTTGAAAAACAAAAGCAAAGTATTACTGTTGTTATAAAAACATATGTTTATGGCCACTAATAGTAAGCTTGGCTAGGAATTTGGATATCTGTTAGGAAACTGAATTTCATAGTGTGTCAGTTGAGTCTGTGAATAATTTGTGAAATTAAATGGAGAGTTCTTAGTGAGGTAGAGAAACTCTCCATTATTAACTGCAGTGAACAAGACAGGAGCTCAAGTTAATCACATTTGCTTTCTCTCATGTTACATTTGGTTGTAGACAATTCATCATTAAAAATAGATCCCACCAGTGTTTATCAAATAAAAACCAGCTTCCCTGAGTTCTTCA